TATTAGAGACTTTGTGCATTTTATTTAATGCAGCCTTAGGTGAAATGAAGATGGGTATCACATTCTCCGCCTCCCAGATGAGAAAACTGAGGGTTGTAGATATTAAATAACTCGCTGGGGTCACTCAGCTAAGTCATCAAGCAAAGGCTCAGACTCCTGAGTCTGACACCAAACCCCAAACTCCAAGTCCTCTGCCTCAGAAAACATTTGTCACCCACAGAAGGAGATGAAGGGGCAGAAAGAAGGAAAAGAGGGTGACTGGCAACCTTCACCAGGTGTTTTGACAACCCAGAAACACAGGTTCCGGGAAAGTGAAGGAAAAAATTAGAGGAAGAAAAGAAAAAGAAGTAAAAGTCAGAGGCAGCGCTGCGTGGAGGCAGCCTCTTGGCCCTGGGCCCCGGGCTGCTGTGCACTGCTCCAGAAATGGCCTCCTCCAGCAGCATGTGACCACTGTGAAGGCAGCGAACAGAACCAAGGCCCCACCTCGGCCAGACAGGCACCTCCGCTGTAATCTAATCGCATCCCTTGAAGCCCAGCCAGCAATCGCCTTCCCTCACCCTGTCACAAATGCCATCACCCCGCACCACCAACTCCCCTCACACGCAGCCCCAGCAGGACCCTGGGACCTGTCTCGGCCACACATCCACAGAGGGGCGGGGATCAGCCCTGGTTTCTCACAGTTCAGCAAGGCCAAAACGAGCGATCATGAGACGGACCCTGCTGGAAAGCTGGCCAGCCATAGGTAGAGTTCACGGCCTAGAGCTCCGCTCTCAGGAAATCCAGGGTGCCTGGCTATTGCCCTTGGTGGATCCACCTGTGGAGAGCTACTAGACACAGACGCCAGAAGGGAAGAAATGCTTTCTGCAATGCAAATGTGTGCAAAAAAGAATGAGAAAAAGTGGGATGAAAACTCACCTGGTCATTCAGATTCAAAATCTGACTACCAGGTTGGGCATGCAACTCAGTGGTAGAGCACTTGCCAAGCACGTGCAAGGCACTGGGTTCAGCCCCAACATTGAAAAAAAAAAAAAAATTAAGGAAGTAACTGATTAGTTTAAAAATAATGGTGAAAAACAAAGACTGGGGTTGTTGCTCACTGGCACAGTGCTTGCCTGCCATGTGAGAGACTAGGAAGTGGATTCCCATCACTGGAGAAAAGAAAAGAAAAGAAGATCTGACTGCCACAATCCATAATGAGCAGTTTACCATTATAAACTTGGTATTTAGAAAGCAACAGCAGAGACTTCCTGCTGCAGACTTCTTTAAACACCAATACGCTGGCTGTAGTCAGCACCACCTAGCTCCCTCCAGCCTAAATTCTCTGATTCTGAAAGTCCTGAGATGGGGACGGAGGGAAAATGGGCTTTAGTGCATTGTGTGTACACTGCATTCCATGTTCCCATGGAGCTTATCCATATTTTTCTATAATACTTAGTGAGGCAAGCAAACCCAGCAATCCTATCCTCATTTAACTACTGAACAAAGGCCCATGACCCAGGGTCCAACAGACACTTAGCGACAGAGTCTAGAACCAAAATTTGAATGAACTCCTATTACCAGTCACAGCACACCAGGTAATTGAGAACAGCCTCCATTCTACTGAGGACAGCTGGATAAGCTGCAGAACAAGCACACCTTTCCTGGAGCTGGGGGTGGGTACTGGCTTGAGCCCAGGGATGCTCTGGCACTGATTGACACCTGCATCCCTCCTTTCTAAATTTTTTATTTTAAGGCTGGGTCTTGGTAAGTTATGCAAACTGGCCTCCAACTTGTGATCTTCAAACTTAGACTTCCAAATAGTTGGGATTAGGGGTCTGTGGGACCTCACCCAGCTAGAACAAGCAAATCTGTAACAAGACAAATGGAAGAAATGGATGAAATTCCCTTCACTATGTAAAGAAGGGGAATATGGGCAAGCACTGTGTTTGGCTTCCCACGATATATTCAGAATTTGGAAACTAATGTGGATGGTCCTGAGTTCAAACTCCAATGCCAAAAAATAAAAATAAAATAGGGAGATTCATAGATTTAAAGATACTAATAAAACTGCCTTGCAGAAAACAAAATATCCAACACTCACAAGTCAAGAGAGGAAAGGTTTACTTAGTTCACTGCTTGTAGAGGTTTCAGTCTGTAGTTGCCTGGCTCAAAACAGGGTAGCATGGCAGACAAGTATCACAGAGGAAAAACAGTTCATGGCAGGCAAAAAGTAGCAAAGCAAGCAAGGGACCTTAGCAGCTGCTTCTTGTCCCTTTTATACTCTATCCAGGGTACCAGGATTAGGGCAGTGGCAAACCCATCAATGGACTGATTTATTAATTACACACACTTAAACCCAGCATCACATACTCTAGATCCACCAACTCTGAAAAGTGCTACTTAGGACTGTTGAGGGGAAATCTAGACACAAATCATAACACCTGCTTAAAGACATTAGGAGAGCTGGTGAGATAGCTCAGTGGACTAAGCACCTCCTTAGGCAAGCACAGGAACCAGGATTAGATCCCCAGCACCATACGCCAGCCCTGCCCCTGCACACACTGAGCCAGCCACCAAGTCCATGCGTGGTAGTGCCCTCCTGTAATGAGTGCTGGGGAAGCTGAAAACAGGAGGATCACTGAGTCTGAGCTGTATAGGGAGATACTGTACCAAATACATTAAAAACAAAGACATTAGAGCTCTAAGAAAATAGTGAAGAGTTGCTAGCCAGAATCCATGAGAAAAAGGAGGCCCAGGAAGATGAGTCCTTTCTCTGAGTTGCATTCATCCTGGGGGTATTTGCTAATTGTCCAAGGGGTAGCTGAGAGGCTGAATGATATTTTGAGGGTCTCACAAGTCATATGAGGATGAAATGAATAAGAAACCCACCAAGAATAGGACCAAGACCTGCTTTACATTAGGACTCCAAAGGGATGCTCTGTACAAGTAAGGGAACTAAAAATAGACAGGTCCTTGCAGTGCCTACAGCTCAACTTCAAACATTGTTCTCAAACTTTTTTTTTTTTTTTATTGTATTTGGTACAGGGTCTCACTACACAGCTCAGACTCATAGTGATCTTCCTGTTTTCAGCCTCCCCAGCATGGCATGTGGTGTCGGGTATCAAACCCCAGTTCCTGTGCTTGCCTAAGCAAGTGCTCTACTTCAAACACTGTGAAGCAATGTTCTTTTTTTTTTTTTTTTTCCTTTCCTTTCCTTTCTTTCTAACTTTCTGCAAAGCTTTATTCCAGAGGAGCTCAGACCTTCTTGGCAGCTGCCTTCCTCATGGCAGCCAGCACGCTGCTCAGCTCCTCACAGCTTTCTCTTGGCATGGATGTGCGTCCCCACCCTCTTCTTGATGAACTTGAGGGCGCGCTTGTTCTTGAAGATTTTTTTTTTTTTTTAATGGTGGAACCAGGGTTTTGAACTCAGGCCCTTGCACTTATTCTACCGAGCCATTTCCCCAGCCCCCGTCCTTGGAGACTTTGAGCAGCTCCATGGCGTGCCACTCGTAGGGGGCGAAGCCGCACACCTTCTGGATCATATTCCGCATGAACTTGCTATGTTTGGTGAGACATCTGCGACAGCGGCTGTGCCTCGGTTTGTTCACATGCTTAGTCACCTTGGGGACCTTGTTGAGGCCCACAGCCATGGGATAGCAGAGGGCCATGTCTACTGTTCTCCAATGGTTGCTGTGACGGAAGGTGATTTTTTTCTTTTTTAAGCAGGGTCTTCTTAGGTATTTCAGATTGGCCTGGAACTGACTATGTAGCTCAGGCTAGCCTGGAATTCTTGGTAATCCCTCAGCCTCAGCTTCCAAAATCTTAGGATTGCATGCATATGCCACCATGCCCAGCCCCTGAAATTACTTTTCTTTTCCCCACGAGATGTGTTTTATTTTCATTTAACATACAAATAATTTTCTATAATATCCCAGGGCAAACCGGAGAATTTGGCAGTCCAATGGGGGGGGGTCCCCTCAGAGACCTACGGGCCGGTGGCATCGGCGCGGAATGCCCGGGTTCACAGTGCAGCTTGTGGCTCGTGTCCATCTTGCAAGTGGCTCTTCCTCCACATCATGACTGGGGGGTCTGGGAGATGACGGGGGCGGGGAATTGTCTGGGCTCTTAGGAAATCTCACTCCGCTTTTCCTGCTCAATGGTCTCTTTGGTCGGCAGGCTGTTCTTCTCCTGCGTCTCTGTCTTCTTCAGCTTGGCCTTATCGAAGCTGGCGATTTCCCCCATGTCTGGTTTGTCTGCCATTTTCTTAAAACAATCGGAAGTGTTTCGCTCGGAGCCCGAGCTCCCTGTGCTCCCACTCGCGTTGCTGCAGCAAGAGACCTGAAATTACATTTAAATGATCCTGAATTGTTGATACCTGAAAAACCCAGTGGTAGTAAACATAATCTTTTGAAGGAAAACAGCATTATCTGACACTTCAAATTAATTCTGCAACCAAGATTGCAAATTCAATGTCCAAAATACAATAAAAAATAATAAAACAGAAAAGATACAAAACCATATTAAAATAGAGAAAAAGAAGCACAAAAATCAACAAATGACAGAAACAGGCCCACAGGTGGTTTAGTTATTGAGGGAATCACATATTTTTTTTTTCTTTTTGCCGTACGGGGGATTGAACCCAGGACCCTGCACTTGCTGGGCAAGCACTTATTCTAACTGAGCCATCTCCCCCACCCAAGTGAATCAAATACTGAAGTATTATAACTTCAGGAAAATAAAAGAAATTTTTAAAAACACAGAATTTTGGCTGAGAACTTAAAACTACAATAAAAAAAAAAGCCAAATGGAAATTCATAACTGAAACAAAATACAACAGTCAGAATTAAGAGCTCTGTAATAGTTAGTGTTCTCTAGAGGAACAAAACTGAGAGAGAGAAAAAAATCTATCTATCTATATCTATCTATCTATATATGTTTATTAGGCTTACATGATCAAAGGCAAGAGAGTACACAGTGGTCGTCTGCGTATTGGAGATACAGAAGATCCTGCAGCTGCTCAGCCCAACAACAGAAAAGCTGTAAACAAGAGGGATAATGATGCAGCACCTACCCAAGCTTCAAGACTTGCCCACTCATGGGTTACTGAGCAGCGCAAGTCTCCACAGGGAAGCCAAAGACACAGAGCTCATCAACACAGGCGAGCTTCTTTCTTTTCCTTTTTTACTCTATCCAGGCTACAAACCTATCGATCGGTCCCACCCACCACGAGGGAGGGGCTTCCTCCCTCAGTTTGCTGGCTTACCTGCCAATCATCTCCACAGACACACTCAAACTGTACTTTACTAGCCTGCTAGGCATTGTCTAAGGCAGCTCAGTTAAAATATCACGACTAATGGCCACAAGCTAAAAGGGTATTTTAAGTG